CTAGTGCTAAGCTGGGCCAGAGCTATAATAGCTCCCTTTTCTGTAAGTACAACGTTAGCATAAGGAAGACTAAGGAAAATATGTCCTACTGCTGGATGAACCAGGAAACCTAATGACAAAAGACATGGAGAAGGCCAAACGTACTCAGTGCCTTCCTTAGCCTTGGCTTTTACTGGTAAGGTTAGCCCTCAGGACTCCCAGCTTCCTGGACCTACTAGCGGAGCTGGTAGGAATGTGTTATTATCCACTGTAGAGGAGGACCCAGTTAGGAAGCACTTAAACCATTTTAGTCATATACTAGCCAGCCAACTGGACTATATGTGATTCATCTGAGGGTGCTGAGGGAGCTGGGCAATGTCACCATGAGGGCACTCACTATCGTCTTGGAAATGCCATGCTGATTGTGGGAGGTTCCTGATCACTGGAGGAAGAGAAATGTCACACCCATCCTCAAACAGAGAAGAAGGAGGACAGAGGGAACTTTTGGCCAATCCGCCTCACCTCAGTCCTTGGGAAGGCTATGGAGCAAATGGCCTGGAAGCCATGTTCCTGAAGGAAAAGGTGATTAGGTAAGGATGGATCGACCAAGGGCAAATGACCAACCTGATTGCCTTCTACAGTGACTGAAAGAATGAATAAAGGGAGAGCACTGGATGCTGTTCGCCTTGATTTTTGCAAGGCCTTTGGCACAGTTTTCCAAAGTACCATTATAGTCAAACTGGTAATACATGTACTAGGAAAGTAGACTATAAGGTGGGCCAAAAATTGCAGGATTGCTAGGCTCGAAGAGTGATGGTGAACAGTATGAAATTCAATTGGCATAGACTGAAGGGATAGATTCCTCAGGGATGAGTAGCTGGGCTGATACTAGTTAACATCTTTATTAACAGGAAAGATGATGGAACAGAGAGTACTCTCAGCAATTTTGTGGATAATACCAAAGTGGGAAAGCAGTCAGTAAATTAGCATGTAGGGCTGCCATTCAGAGAGACCTCAAGAAGCTGGACAACTGGGCAGACAGGAATCTCAGGAAGTTCAAGCCAGGTAAGTTTGAAGTCCTTCCTCTGAGATGGAAAAGAAAAACCCATGCAATGGGATACGCAGAGGGCTGCCTTTTTAGAGAGGAACTTGACAGGAAAGGATCTGGGGGGAGTCCTACTGTTGAAAGTTCAAGGTGAAGAGGAGTCAACAACATGCCAAGAAAGCCAGGTACTTACTGGGCTTTATTAGCAGGAGTGAGCAAGGTGATTCAGCACTTAAGACCTCATCTGGAATAATGTGTCCTATCTGGGATCCACAGGAGCAGAAAAGAGAATGGTTATGCCTTCATTAAAGTCCTGACGTTTGTTAATAATAGAAATTTTTCCCTTGATGGATCAATTCCAGGCATTTGTGGGGAAATATTTGCAGGATGAGATGGCACAGAAGGGTGTGTGTGTGTGTGGGGGTGGGTGGGTGGGGGTGTGTGACTGTAGTGTTTGAATGGGCCTCATACATACAGACAGACAGATCTCAGTTAACTGTTGCCCCCAGAGGAGGCAGAATCTGGGAAAACAGATCATTTTGATTTGAATTATAAGAAGAAGCTTATAACTTATAAAAGTTTTCTACTGAGATATTAGAAAAACAGGAAAAGGTGAGAGGTGGTTAATTCTTAACCCAGAAATTCTTAGTCAGCTGTGGACAGCAAATAACCACTATACTAAAGAAAAGACCAACATGCCTTATTGCTCTTTTCCAGTGCACAATACCTGAGAGGCGACAGCTCAGCAGGAGGTTTGAAGGCATGACAATTTTGGTGCTGAGAGACAGGTGAATCCAAACTACTCTCTCAAGGAAGACCATGCACGAAAAAAGATCCCCCCTGCATAAGACATGCAGAGCTTTCTCTGAGGAAGAACACTTTTCTATCCCAAATAAAAAGAATAGCCTTTGAGTTGTTTACTGGCTTATGATCATCAAGAGCAGATCAGAGTAAAGCTATGTATAAGTGCAAGCCTTGGCCCATCAGGGTTTCTCAGGACATATGCATGAGAATGGGAAGATCCAGTTTGCAAATAAAGCACAAGGACTGAAACATCTAAATAGAGGTCTCTCCATTCACCCTGGATGTTTCAGATCCCCTTACAGGTTCTGAGTGGCTAGGTAATATGGTCTGTGTAGTCTAGAGAGGGATTTGCTTGACTAGCCAGGCTTCACTGATAGTATTAACTAGTATGTGAGCCAGTTTCCTAACTACAGGCCTCTAGCACCATCTGAGATAATCCAAGGTATATGAAACATTTCTGAAGCTGGAAGAGGTGACAATAGCATTCTTTGGAGACCTGAGCCCTTCTGCTCCCAAGACGGGATGCCTGTCGTAACTCTAGACTCCTATATCTAGGAAACTGAATGAACACCCTGGTGTCTCTTAACTACAAGTCTCAGACAGTAAGTTCATAGGAAGTTATCTTATTTAGATGCCTCCATTTAAGTGTCTTAATCTTGAATTGTGTCCCACCTTTCTTTTCAGAGAGCAATGCTAAAAACGTCCTTATGAATGTCCATGAGCAGCAAATGTAACATCCTGAAGGGGCAGGCCCTCCAAGTACTCAGGGTGAGGGCATGACCCCTTCTGTAAAGCTGCTGTATTCAATAGGGACTACCAGGCTGTGAGCACAGCTACTTCCAGGGACTCTAAGACAGATGCTTGAGGCAGAACTCAAGTGATTGATGAAGGGCCTCTATTTTAGGGGCTGTGGATTATCCAAATGCTGCTCCAGAAGCACATAGGTCTTCCACAGGTCCTGTGTCCCTTTTGCTTGCCCTATACAGATTCTTAGGGGAACTAGGGCAGCTCAAATGCCTGGAACCTTGTTTAGGTAACTTTATCCACCCCTATGGATCAGAATAGCTTCTATTCCACTTTCTTGAGATGGGATAGCTCACTTGGTGAGGGCAGATCAAAGTAATTCTCTCATCATTAGGGAAGTTCTAGCACACAGTTCAGTGGGAAGACTCT